AGAAGCACAAAAATTTTCTGGAAACTTACTCGAGCTCGAATCATCATCTCCATCGCCCAATCCCGTTTTTCCTGCACCCAAAAGTGTCATGATGATACCAGTCTGTGAATTTACTCCCACAGCTGTTACTAACATTTTGCCAGAACCTTCCATAGCATAGGTTCCTGCAACGATTTTTTGGCACTTGTAACTTTGTGACAGTTTTCCGATATTACCTGATAAAAGGACAGGATCCGTCTCAGGGCTTTTGGTAATATGATCGGATTCTCCCGTAAGTGATGACTCGTCGACCTGGAAATGATTCAAGATGTATTTTTTTTTGTAATGTCGTTGTAGAGCGATCAATTTCTATCAATTTTACAAATTTCAAAATTGTAATTACAATCGTTAGTTGCAGTCTTTTTCGCAAAATTACTCAAATCAGGTTTCGTAAAATTGACAATTTTTTATTTTTTCTCACCTTCAAATCATTTGACTGAAGCAAGAACCCATCAGCAGGTAGAAGGTCCCCATACTTTACTCGGGCAATATCCCCGACTACCAGATCCGAAACGGGAATATCGATGGCTTCACCATCGCGGATCACCGAGAATTTTTGCCCTGTTTCGATTTTCTCCTAAAAATACCAAAATTAACACACTAAAGGTCTTCATAGTCACTTCAATCAGTAAAATCAATACCAATCGATACCTGCAAACTTCTGAATTGCCTCTCCTTTGAATAGTCGTTAATTGCTGTGACCAGCACAACAACGACAACGCACAAAAGAATCGCAACCCCTTCTATCCAAGCTGTTCCATGTCCTTCTCCTTGTGGTTCTTTCGCAGTGGTGATGTTACGAGTTAGTGTAGCGTTTAGAAGATCAAAACCTGAAAGGAACAGTGTTTCAGTTAGTTCGCACATAAGTAAGAAAGCAAGGAATTATTATGAGTGCCTAAGAAGGATTGAGTCGACTGATTTATCGACTGATTTTCGGAGACAAATTGATTCGCAAACTTTGGTTCATTTGAGATGCTGGATAATGAAAAGACCAGTTTTCGTTTAGCATAATTCACAAAGTTGTTCTTTTGAAGCAAGATTTAATCCTCTAATGTTACCTCCTTCTAGATTCCATGTAGCTCAATCATAGATGGAGATAAACAACTGTACAGTGTGAAGAATAGACGAGATTCAAATCATGTCACTGTTATAATAATTTAGTAGAAAAAGTCTTACTGCGAACAAATTTTTGAAGAAATATTATAGATAAAATTCTGGAAGCAGAAATTCAACTGTGGGATGACTAGACTCAAAGAAGCCACTTTGAAAAACTTCTCGTTAACCGTTTTTTTTTTCGCAAACATGAAAATGATGGCTATTGTATGCATATTATCGACCTCTTGCAGCTGCCACTTTCTCTCTTTTTCATCAAATCAAATTAATAATTAATATTTGCATAAGACCCGTAGCTTGTTAGAGCCAGCATTAGAAGTCCTTCGCACGTTATACGTAAACCGTGAATATGCATGATTATCTACTGCTTCGCAATATTTTTGGCGAACATGGAAAAGAATTTTTCAATATAACAACAGTTTTTCACCATACCATGTGGCTATGTAGGTTTGGTGAAAAACTGCTATATCGAAAAATCTCCCTGAGGAATTGTCATGCTGGTTTGATATTCGATCACCATATTTTGAACTTGCGTGGAAAATTTGAACTAAGGGAATAAAGAAAGTAAAAAAATGTGGCTTTGATCAGTGTCTGAGATAGCCTTTCCTCTTTTGTTTTGAGGAAAAAATTCTCCTGGTACCTTTAATGCTTTGCGACAAGACTTGAAGAATCGGAAGAAATGTATAAAACATTAGCATAGAGATGGCGACTATCTAATATTTTCAACCCATACTCCCAATATGTCGTCACTTTTCTGACTCACTATACCATTGTGGTTGTTAGTCTTCTAAATTGTTTTCCTATCGATCTAGTTATCAATAAGCAACGTTATCATTCAACAATTCTTGTTCATCATTATCCCCCTCCCCTACGCGTCGAATTTACCCTTGAACTGGGTAAACTTGCTACCGCCCAGCTCGCCAAACAAAAAGTGTAACATATGCGTCTATCTCAGCTGATATGATATGGAAATACAATTCGGTCCCGTTTTTGGAATTCGTCGTCACGACAAGCATAGAAATTCTGAAGTTGAGGAGAACTAAAGTCACCCACCAGTAATATTATTCATGAAAGCTCCAGCTATGAGAGACGCTGCGGTGGAAGTTTCCTCATCCGGAGCTTGCATTTCGGGTTCATAGAAGGAAAGCGCTAGATTGATAAATCCAGCTACGACTAGAATAATTAGGGTAGGGTCCTGCAAGGAATTTATATCAGTTGAATTGTCTAATG